GCTGGGAGTGGTCCCCATCTCGGCGCCGCAGCTGGAAGCTGGTGGAGTTGAGGTGGAGGAAGACATCAGCGGTGCTGTCCTGGCGCAGGCAGCGGCCCCGGCCTTGGCACAGCGCCGTGCTGCAGAGCTGTGCCGCCGTCGTGACATTCACGATGTAGCGGCCCAGGTCCCCCTCCAGGTAGTTCTTGATGATCTGGCATGAGTCCTGGGGAAAGGGGGGCATCAGGGGCATATGGGGGTGCTCCAAGGAAAGAAGCACCCCAGATGGAGAGGGCACCCCTGGCGCAGGCAGCGGCCCCGGCCTTGGCACAGCGCCGTGCTGCAGAGCTGTGCCGCCGTCGTGACATTCACGATGTAGCGGCCCAGGTCCCCCTCCAGGTAGTTCTTGATGATCTGGCATGAGTCCTGGGGAAAGGGGGGCATCAGGGGCATATGGGGGTGCTCCAAGGAAAGAAGCACCCCAGATGGAGAGGGCACCCCAGCCTCAAGCCGCTGCCTCTGTGGGCGCTGGTCCCCCTCTGTGGGCAGGTGACTCCCCACCCGTCAACTGCCACCCCAGGGGCACACTGACCCCAAACCTACCCGATTTTTGGTGTAGTCCGTGTCGCCCCAGAAAATGGCCCCAGCTGCACCCAGCGCCGCACTCTCTCCGATGGTGGAGATCAGGTCTGGCTGCAGGGACAGACCCCAGTTAGTGCCCACAGACCCCACACAGCACTCACACCTCCCAGCATGGTGCACCCCAAAGAGCTCGCTGCGGGGTCAGGGAGGCAAGACCCATCCCTGCTCCAGGCCATGGGAAGAGGTGACTGTCCCAGGTCCTTGGGGACGAGGCTCCCCACCACCACCCTCCTCCTCAGAGGCTAAGCCAGCACAGCACAAGGGCTGTGGGCTCACGTACCCCAGGGTCCCAGCTGCCGGGACCCAGGAGTCCTGCGGCACCTCCCAGGCACTTCCCTGGTGATGGTGACCACTGGTGCCGGTCCTGCTGCCAGACACCTTGCCCGTAACGGCAGGGGTGTTTGTGGCACCCCATCATCCATCCATGCAGAGGCTGAGCTGGGGGTCCCCACACCGTGACCCTCCCTTGGAGGGAGGAAGGCAGGGCCAGGCACCCCTCCTGGTCCCCAGGGCCAGCCCCATGCCAAAGGATGCTACCCCCCACCCCACGTGGGGACAGCCAAACCACGGGGTGCTGGTAACACCATCAGAGCAGCCACCAACCTCCAGAGCCATTCCACTCTGTGGACTGGGATGGGACACAGACAGAGGGACCACCTTGGCTGACCCCAGAGCCCAGGTGGCAGGGCTTGGGACAATGACGTCCCGGTGGCACAGCCCTACCTGGCTAAGCACATCCAGCTTGCGGATGTAGGTGGGCCGGGTGTAGACAAAGACGGGCAGGGAATAGCCGTCGTGGTGCTGCTGGGAGATGCGCATGGCCTCCATCACCCGCGCCCGCACGAACTTGCGGCTATTGGGGGTGGATGCCAGGAGCAGGTCGAGGTAGATGGAGGGGTAGAGGGCCGTGCTCTCCCTCCAGAGCCATGCCAGCTGGTCATTGCGTGTCTTCTCCACGTCCGGGCACTGCCCGGTGTAGCTCTCCTTGTTCTTGCTGTAGTCATGGTTGTAGCAGTCGGGGAAGAGGTAGTACCCCCAAAGCTGCTTGGGGCGGAAGCTCTTGGCCACACGCAGGGTGCTCACCATGAACTGCTGGGCAGCCGACTCGAACTCGAACACCGCCTGCTTGCTCACCTCCTCATGGGACCAGGTGGGCTGCCGCTGGTGCACCAGCTGCCGAG